GTGGTTAGGTATAAGAAGAGTGGGTTGATTGAGTTGATGTGTGTGTCTGGGGATTGTGGTAGAGTGTTAGAGCATCCACTATGGGTGCGTTAACGATGTGATTTAGCGTTAGAATAACGCTAAAATCCAGACAGGTCTACTATGGACCTGTTTTAGACATGCGGTCCGTACGACTGCGTCAAATCTTGCACTCCCCTTGTTCAAATCTACGCAAGCCTACGACTTGATTTATCGTAGACTTTTGGCGCATCAAATCGGTCAACAGCCATCAAATGATCTATCTGTATCCATCCCACTCTGCACTCACCACCTTCAATCAAAATCTTCCCTCGTCCCTCAAAATCACAGCTTGTTGATGGTAGCTGTTTACTCTGAATTTGCTAAAAAAAACGCATTTTGTTTTAAAAAAAAGTGATTCCGTGCAATTGATTTCACCAAGATCGAGCAAGATGTGAGAAAGCTCGATGCTCATTGTCAACACCTGAAGCCATCATTTTGGTTCTTTCTGGCTACCAAGGTAGTCATCATCATAGAAGTGAGCTGGGTGAGGCGTGGTAAGATACTTCAATTCGAGTCTCGACTTTGCCATAGCGTGTATAGTGTTCTAAGAACAGATTATCGTAGTTAAATCCTACGTTACATCATCCCATAGTGGATTTCATGCGGTTAACAACTTAGCTACAACACGCATGATTAAATTTTGCGATCAGGACCGCAAAATTTACGATAAAACACCCTCAACATAGTGGATGCTCTTAGTGTTTGTTTATCGAGTGTTAGAGTCAAGTTTGTTTTAGTGTTATTTTAAAAAGAGTTATCGAGTTTTTTTTAGTTTTAAACCCTTATAAGGGTAGTAGTGTTATTTTTTTTAATTCTGAGTGATTACGTGTTCTATAGTGTGAAATCTTTGTGTGTGAAAGGTCTGTCTGTGAAATCCATTACAGTAACTGTGTTTTGGCATTTGAACAAGTTTTAGAGTCATTCGAATAGTTTTTCTCGTAGAAAATCAGCAGTGTATTTTTTTATAGTTTAAGCAGTCTAAGTAGAAGTTTAAACAGTATCTATTCAGTCATCAATTATCTTAAAATCATTTATTTTTATTATTTTTATTTCAAATAATTAGTTTTGAAGAAGTCTTAAAAATTAAATTTGACTGCAAAACATTATCATCTACTTGTATAAAACTTTGATTTACTTTTTCTATAGCCCTAGCTTATTCAAAATAGTGTTTAAGGGCCTTGGTGACCACTCTGTACAGTCTTTAGACTTGTCGGAGCTCTTTTGGACCAGGTTTGGTACTGATTTTATCAGTGGAAGGGGTAAATTGAAGTTGTTACAGGTGTTGTTTGTGTGTAGCAGGAAGTTTTCTTTTTGAATTGTATCCCTCTGCTTCTGAACTTAGAGATTATTATAGGTCGAGGGCGGCTTAACTGCACCTGTTGTACTCTCATTCTCTCCGGCAGTGCTTCATCCCCTCTCCGGCTCAGCCTACGCTACACTGTGTAGGAGTTCTACAGAGGTAGTGGCGTCCATCAAGGAATGGTGTCAATACCTTGAAGGTACCCCAAACCGGCTCAATGTCATAGTGTACACTGATCACAAAAATTTGAAATCCCTCATGACAACCAAGGAACTCACAAGGCGACAGGCGCGCTGGGCCAAAACTCTGGGCTTGTTTGACTTTGAGATACATTTTTGACCTGGTAGACAGTCAACAAAGCCAGATGCATTTTTGCGCAGGCCAGACTTTGCACCTGCTGAAGGAACCAAACTGACATTTGGACAGTTATTAAAACCCAAAAACTTACCGGCTGACGCATTCCTGAATGAACTAGAAATTGCTGAAATGTGGTTTGAAAATGATGATATATTTGAAGAAAGAAAAGAAGATAGACTAAATGAAGAAGAGCAAATGGAACCAAGCCGTCAAATATTACAAGATTCAGATTTAATTGAACTAATCAAAGAGAAAGCAGGAGGAAATGAGCACATCAAAGAATTGATCAGGCTGTGTGATGAAATGCCAAACTCAAAGCATTTACAAGGATACCAAGTGGAGAATGGGATTTTATATTTCAACAACAAAATTGTTGTACCATGTGATACTGATCTAAAGGTTCAAATCTTGCGTTCTAGACATGACAGCAAGCTGGCTGGGCACCCAGGACAAATGAGGATGTTAGCTCTGATTAAACAAGCCTATCACTGGCAGTTGATGAAGGCCTTTGTCAACAAATACGTGGACGGTTGTCAATCATGCCAGAGAGTGAAGGCTCAAACCAAAAAAACTGTTTGGATCATTGCAACCATTGCCTATTCCTGAAGTACCGTGGCTCAATAGCTGTTATGACTTGATTACGGACTTGCCGGAATCAGGAGGGTATGATAGCATCCTCACTGTTGTCGACCAACTAACAAAAATGGCTCATTTCATCGCCTGCAAGAAAAGTATGACCTCGAATGAACTAGCTAACTTGATGATTCAAGAAGTTTGGAGACTACATGGCACCCCAAGAACGATAACGTCGGATCAAGGAAACATTTTCATTTCCAGAATAACAAAAGACTTCCATAAACAATTGGGGATCAAAACGCAGTCTTCAACCGCTTATCATCTGCAAACCGACGGGCAGTCAAAAATCACAAACAATGTGGTGGAACTGTTTCTTCAACACTTCACCTCTTATAAGCAAGATGACTGGTTTGACCTGCTACCATTTGCAGAGTTTTCATATAACAATAATGAACATGTTGCAATAGGAATCTCACCATTCAAGGCTAATTATGGGTTTGATGTGAATTTCACAGATATTGCTGCAAGCACGCAATGTGTACCACTAGTTGAAAATCAAATGGAGCAGATCAAGACGGTGCAAAGAGAATTAAAAGATACAATGAACTTAACACAAGAAGAAATGAAGAAACATCACAATCGAAAAGTAAAAGACGCACCGTCGTGGGAGAAGGGAGACAAAGTTTGGTTGAACAGCAAACACACATTGACGTCAAGACCCACTGTCACTGGGCAGATGTAGTATTTTTCCCAAGTGAAAAATGATTGACCTGAAGGACAAACAAAATTGAAAAAGGTAGAATTCTGAATTCATTTTGTGTGTGCATTAACACTGCATTTTACTGCATTGATGCTGCATTTTTCCACATGAATGGTGCATTAATAGTGCATTTTTATGCATTAACACAGCATTTTTAATCATTTTGACATTAATTTTAATCATTTTGCATGGTGGAAAAATACTACATCTGCACAGTGTGTTAAGTTTTCACATTGTTGGCTGGGACCATTTGTAATTTCCGCACAAGTTTCAACTAACACATATAGACTTGAATTACCCAAATCCATGAGCAAAATACATCCTGTCTTCCATGTTAACTTATTACGGAAGTATGATCCAAGCTCAATTAAATGACAAGAAGCAACCCCAGCACCTGCAGTAATAATCAATGAAAATGAAGAATTCAAAGTTAATGAAATATTGGATAAGAGAAAGAAATGCAAGAAAGTCACTGCAAACATTATACAACTTCCCCAAGTGGGCAGGAAAAAATGATTGGGAGTATGATTTGTCATAAAATGGTCTATCACTCCACACCTGAGCCATAAAACCCACACTACATATGTGTAGCAGGCTCAGTGAATATGTGGACATCATGTACATACAGTTCTGCTCAGTTATCTGCTCATCACAATAAGTTATTCATATGTAATACATGCTGTAACTTCTTTCCGATTGAAAAAAGCATTCAAAAGATTGACTACATACACTGACTCGATGTTTTGGTGTGATCTCATCAACTCAACTGCATGTAACACCCTTTCTGTTACTAAGAAATAGCTTCAACAATATTGCCTGAGCAGCTACAGAATTATATGTAGTGAATGTTTGGGAAAAAAATTCCAAAGTCGAAAAAGTTACATGTGGTATAACATGTGATTTATTTATCCTGATGGGCAAAAAACTGAGCAGACCTGTATGTACATGATAGACAACTATTGACTTAGCTTGCTGCACATATGTAGTGTGGGTTTTATGGCTCAGGTGTAGAGTGATAGACCATTTTATGACAAATCATACTCCCAATCATTTTTCCTGCCCACTTGGGGAAGTTGAATAATGTTTACAGTGAGTAGAATACTTAATCAACTGGACAGGGTACGGAGAAGAATGTGATTTGTGGGAACCGTCAAGCAATCCTCAAAATGCTCAAGAACTAGTAAATGAATTCAATCAAAAATATCCTCAAGCTGAAGTAAGATATAGAAGGTCAAGGAGAAAGTAGAGAGGGTGAGGCTTTTTCCCAATGGTTTTTTTAATGCCAACCAGTGGAAAGATGCTGGCCTGCAAGAGGAGGTTAAGACATCAAAGGGGGAGTGGTGTTATGACCCTACTTGTATAAGGCTTACCTGTTATATGCTTATACTGTACCATCTAGACTTCTTGTGATGCGTAGAGCAGGGACTCTTTTCCTTACTTAGCAATCTAACTACTTTACCAGAAGACCCTCTTTCTCACTTGCATCTTGCCATCTCTCATCAAGTCCTAACACATCAGTCCCAATGGATTTGTGATTTACTCTGAGCAATTCTTAGACTATAGCTCAAACACTTGAGCACCAGTCAATCCCAAAAAGCTTGAGCAATTTTGCCTTCCAAAACCCTCAGGTAATGAAACCAAGAAGTAGTTGGAGGAGTGGAACCAGGTCAGAGATACCAACTCAGTCCAACATTTTGGTAAGAGAATGTGAAGCATGCGAAGTGTACCTTCAAATTAAGTACCTGGCTAAACCGACTTAACCAATCAGTTTTGACTTGGTTGATTTTTGACCACAATTTGACCATCGGCTGTAATTTTTGGAGTCAGGCGGACCAAAAAAATATTGGGATTCGACTTCACACCCTTATCCTTTCGGAACTGCATATACCCACCATGGCTGGTAAATCATCAAACAAAGTAAAAAAACGACCAATCAGTCCAACACCTACTTCTCAAACAACTACCAAACCTTCAAATGATCTCGACCCTGAAGAACGTAAAGCGAAATCAGCAGCAATTGATCATGATGATCTTCCAGCTAGACTTCAATCTGCTATTAATATGAGTGAAGGTCAAGAAGGTATTGGTGAATTTGAAGACGCTTGGGAAGATGAATTTGAAGATGAAGAAGCTGGTAGTGTACATTTTAATCAAGATTCGGAAGAGGATGATGATGATGAAGATAAGATGGATGATAATATACCTGGAGCCGGTCGATCTCTCGAAGCCGATGATGATGATGACGCTGGTCTGTACCTCATGGTAGTGATTTTGAAGTCAAGTTCTTAACTGAGGCAAATTTTTAATTTCTTCGTCTTCTGAATCGTTTTTCAACACCGTGATATCATCTGGCGAGGAATTCAGATGAGGCCGGGTCCAAGAAAGCTCGCTCTCGATCACCTTCGATAACGGCTTATCTACCACATATCCATGGTCGTACCCTAGGAGAGGGTGAAGAATTGGTAGCAGACCCCACGGCTTACAAGATGTTGCATCCCTTGACAATGGCCTGGCCAGCGCTATCTTTCGACGTTCTGAGGGATGATTTAGGAGAGGAGCGGATGCGGATGCCTCATTCAGTATGTGTTGTAGCCGGTACTCAAGCGGACGCAACAGGAGACGTTGATCAAGACGAAATTATGATAATGAAATGGGATGGTTTGAGTAGGATGCGTAAAGATCCTGAATTGGAAGACGATCCAGATGAGGAAGATGAAGATGACGATGACGAAGTGGACGAAGAACCAACATTAACTTTCAAAACTATTCCTCATAAAGGTTCTGTTAACCGGATCAAGGCTCAACCTTTACCACTTCCACTCTCGAATCGACCACCTAGACCACCAGATTCATATTTTGTGGCTTCTTTCTCGGGTACCGGAAAAGTCAATATCTTTGATATCGCACCTCATTTGTATAGTCTTCAATCTCCTGCTGGCTCCGGAAACCTATCTCTCTCAAAGTCACCCATCCACACTATTCACCAACACGGTCGTGCTGAAGGTTTCGCTTTGGCATGGGGTGCAGCTAACCAAAGCTCTAGTTCACCCTCATCCCTTCGATTACTCTCTGGAGATATTCATTCGAAAATTTTCTTGACTACTTCTACCAACTCTGGTTTCACTACAAGCGCACAACCTTATAGCGGTCATACTTCATCTGTTGAAGATCTTCAATGGTCACCTACCGAATCAACTGTCTTTGCAAGTTGTTCTGCTGATCAGAGTTTAAGAGTTTGGGATGTAAGAGTAAAGGATAGAAAAAGTGTGATTGGTGTTCCAGAGGCTCATAAGGCTGATGTGAATGTGTTGAGTTGGAATTTGAAAACTAGTTATTTGATTGTAACCGGTGGAGATGAAGGTGGAATCAAGGTTTGGGATCTTCGAACGTTGAGGTGCGTGACCGCATTCCGATATTTTCGTCTTTTTGTTTTTACTTGCAAAATTAACTTATTTCTTTACTGCCTTGTGTTCGTCTTGCTGTATCTATCAACCACAGTACGAAAACACCCGGGAAAACCGCCGAGAAGCATCTACCTGTAGCAAGTTTCAATTGGCACAAAGCTCCTATCACATCAATCGAATGGCATCCAACAGAAGATTCATGTTTCGCTGCATCTGGTGCAGATGATCAAGTGACCCTTTGGGATTTATCTGTAGAAGCAGATGAAGAAGAAAATGGAATGATGACAGATGCTAATACTGAATCATTACCACCTCAACTTCTTTTTGCTCATCATGGTCAAAGTGAGATTAAAGAAGTACATTGGCATCCTCAAATTCCTGGTGTAGTCATTAGTACAGCTCTTGATGGTTTTAATATGTGAGTAGTTTGATCAGTTTATACCTTTTCTTGATTTGATTGCTCTCAAGTCTTTGGTAAGCTTTACTGATATCTTCTCAACTCATCAGATTCAAGACTATCTCTGTTTGATTACGACTTCGGAGCCAAAAAGAAACCATTGCAATATGAATTGAAACGGATTGAAATGATTTCAGTGATAAGTGTAATTAAAAATGAACCATTTGTTGTCTTGCAGCAGATTATAACATACCATCGATTATCCAAAACAGAAAATGGTATGGAGATGTTGAGTAAATTGATCACTTGAGTTTAATTTGATCAGAATTGCCTTGGATGGCTTCACTTTGTCTTTTGATTGGGATCAAATTTATGAATCATTCTGTTAGAATAGTAAGATTTTTATTGAACTTGAACTTCTTGATCAATACCTTCACTCAACTCCAAAAAAAGACTTATATACCTGCTCACTTATCTCTCATTGATGTGAATGAGTTACATTCCATTAAATATGTAAGAGCTGTTTTCACCGTGCCCGTTGAGAGGGCCCCCGACGTCGGGGGCCTTGGAGTGTCTCGGCTTCCTGTAGAATTTGTTTTGTTTGTGCAAAGAACAAGCTCAACACGAGACTCAGCGGAAATCCAATCTGAGTGGGTGATGAGCGTGTTGAACCATTTGAACACCGCTGAAAACTCGCTGAACGAGATACCTCAGTGCGTAGATTGTTCAGTTCAGGACCCCATTGTCCGAAAACTTTGATCAAAATTCGGAAAGACATCCTCAGATATGGTCTTTTCGATCTCAGCTCAAGTTGATCCAGAGCGGAGTTCTAGGGAGCTACGACGTTGTTTTTCTGCAACAGTAGGGGGTGTCAAGTTTGTTTTTTTACAACAACAAAAAAATATGAAACGGCTAAGTATTTATGTTTTAACGTTAAAAAAGTCGTGTTCATAAAAAACAGTCATACAAAGTACACAAAATGTTAAAAACTTTTTCCCTTTCCAAGCTACCCGAGCAGTAAAACAGAAATCCTGTGGGGTTTTCTCAGTCGGTCAAGCCAAACCCACTGGACCCAGTGAGGTTTTGAGCTACATCAAACCTTCTTTGGGCAACAAACAGAAATCCAGAATCATCGTCATGGTTAGAACCTCTGAACATCAAAAAACTATCAAGATTGTAGAGGAATGGTATCAATCAGCATCTGACAAGGCTCATGAATTAAGAGTGCAAGAGTTGATATATGGAGAATGAATGGTCCCTTCAATGGGTGATTTAGTTTATCCAGATGATGAAACATCAGCTTTAATCTTTGACTTCATCTTTAATGTAGAAGACAAACTTGAGGACCTTTTGGAGCTGGTCACTGAGATGAGATACCACGAACCTCGATGGAAGATGCATTTCGAAGACGACTTCAACTTCAATGATGTCTTATGTGATCGGCCATTTGAGTTCAAACAAGCTATGTGAACCACGAGAGCTGGCTATGATGCCATTCTTGACCTTATTGCCGGACATCCAGTGTTTTTCTGCACATCTCGTAATCCACAGCCACCTGTCGCCAAACAGCTCGCTCTTACTTTGGAACAATTAGGAAGTTTTGGAAACGGAGCATCACTGGGCCGTTTAGCTAGGACTTACAAGCTATCAGCTGGTGCTGTGGTCAACTGCTCACGCCGATGCATTCAGGCTATCAATGAATACGCTTCCGATTACCTCCAGTGGCCTGATTGTGATTGGCAAAAAGAAATCTCACAATTCATGGCCTTAGAAGGCTTTCCTGGTTGTGTAGGATTCATAGACAGAACGACTTTTCCACTGTATCAAAGGCCTGGCATAGATGGCGAGACTTGGTTTGACCGCAAGAAACGCTATTCTATTAATGCTCAGATTGTCTGTGACTGCGATCAAAGGATCACAGCTCTCTATACCGGATGGCCTGGATCATGCCACAATAACAAGTGTTATTCATTGATGGATCTGGCTGCTAATGCAGAGCACTGGTTCTCTGAAGGTTGGTAGTTTCTTCTATTTCACATTGGTACTTTATTGAATATATGTAAGGGTATGCCTTACAGTTAGTGCTTACACAGGGTGTTATGGGTTTATAGGAGTCTAGTGTAGTTGTTTCCGTTGCCCTGGCTCCAGATTGTCTCTTTTCCCTTAGGAGACTCTCCACGCGGAGCCAGGTAAGCATTCTATTAGTTCTTTTATTCATCTCTCTTGTGTGCTTAGTGTTGTGTTAGTGGATACTGATTAGAGGAGACTCTCCACGCGGAGCCAGTTTGGGAATATAGATTCATTTTATAGGTGACTTGCGCTTTCGAGCAGTTCCCTGTGATCACAGTGAAGGTTCTCTCTTGGAAACCTTACACTTTTTTCAGGACCCTGGAATACACCCATGGAGGGTACTGACGGAGCATGATTTTCAGTTTTTTGCCTCTACACTACGCATCAGTGCCTCTATGAAGCTGCAGAGCACTTCAAAAGATGCGCATGGAGTAGGGCTATCAGATGAGACCAGACAGAGCCCGGCATCGTGTCTCACGGCGGCGTAAATCGCGATGGCGCAATTTTTTTTTCGACCTCCAAGGCCAAAAACCGACCCTCGATTTTTGGCCCTTTTTTGGGCGTTACATTGATATATCTTAGGTAATATTGGTGCTACCAGGCTGCGAGCTAGTGCATTTGAAAGCCTTCATTCTGGTGCATCTTTTGTGCTCCTGTAGGTATTGATAAAGTGCAGTTTAGTATCGAAAAACTACGTCAACAAAAGGTCGGTTTTTTCGTAAGTACCCTCCATGGGTGTATTCCAGGGTCCTCTTTTTTCACCTATATTTTAAACTTTAAAACTCTCCGATTCCCTGCTGTATAACCACTCCGACTGAGTCGAAATACCCCGCTGTTCACTCTGCTGCCAATATCCCACCTTCTGTTCTGCCTTCTGTTCATGCCCGATCGACGTAATCTCCCAGACAACTACTCCGACAATCCTGAAGCCTTTCTTCGCCGTCCTCGAGGAAAGACACACATTGAATCACCACCTAGCAGTCCACCAGCTCCGAATCCTCCGCGTTACAATTGGCAACCGGAAGTGCCGGAGACGTCAGCTTCTGATCATCGCATACTAGCCTCCAGTCGACCGCTAATTTCCATCGAGAATAGCAGTGATCGACAATCACCAAAAACACCTGTCCAGCTTCTACCAGACCAATACAACGACTGGACGCGTACAAGTGATAAGGAGATAGTTCAACATTTTTTCAACCGATTACTGTGGAATAAAGCTACACCACATAAACTTTTGGACAATTTCGCTACACCGAGACCGCCGGGTGCTTTTGTATTCACGCCGCAAGCGCAGATCAAAGGTGTCATGGCGGAACCATCAACATCTGGTGGGAAAGGCAAGATGTCAATGGCAAAGATTTCGGACGAAGATCATATCGAATTCCTGAAACGACAACTACAGGAAGTAATGGACCGTAATGCAGCTTTGGAACGGCGTTGCAACCGACTTGACACCCTGGAAACCATGGTTCAAGACCTAGCTCGAGGACGTGAAGAAACGCGGGGGCAAGCTGGCGATTATAGTTTACAGTCTTGAAATCAAATAACCCTTTTGCCCAATACATGGAAAATGGGCCAGCTTCGCCCTCTCCAATTGTAGTACAGCAAGTCCAGATTCCAAGTGATCAAGAGCAGCCTCTGACAATCAATTTTGCCTCACGACCCGTCATTCCTGTGGTTGCGGCGCCTCCGGCATACAATTTGGAATCCGGTCAGACTCTGCCAATGCCACCGACTGCGATGCCGTGGACCTATCCATGGGCTCAATCAACTCCAGCAGTTCGCTGGCTCGCTCCTGAACCAGCACCGGTAGTTTTACCGCCCTTATCACCAACGTCACCGGCCTTACCAGCACCTACATCAGCACCTATTCTGAAGGCACGTGACCAGGGGGCAGACGCTTCAGATAGCCATAGCAACGATTCGAGCTCAACTGTAACGGCCAGCAAGATTCGACTCGCTGAGGTGCCCAAGTACAAGGGTCCTTTTGGTAAACCAACTGAACTGTTTCATTGGCAGTGGCTAGTGGAGCAATACTTCGATGTCAAAGATTTGAACAGCGACAGAGAACGAATGAAATTGTTGGGATCTCTTTTGGTGGACCAACAAGCTTCAGCTTGGTTCCAATCGGCGAGATCTGAATTAGAAGGGAAAACATGGTCTGAGGTGATGGACTTGTTCGCTTTAGGAACCTTACCTGAAGATTGGGCAGCGGATACCGAACGACAACTGCGAAAGCTACAAATCAAACCGGCCGAAAGTTTCGACGCTTTCATCGAACGAGCCCAAGGCCTTCACCGAACGATAGCTAGATTCTCACGCATCACTCAGAAAGAACTCGCACAGTAAATCTGTTGGGGAGTGCCTGATATCTTTGACAGCACGGTCAGGAAAGATAGACTCCTCATGGATGACTCCTTTAACATGATCACTTTCATTTCGCGTGCGAAAGCAATCTGGCGAGTTTTGGTGGATGGAGGTCAAATCAAAGAAGGCAGATCGAGAACTTCTAATACGAACCCTTTCCAAAGCCATCAAACATCGGGATCACATTCAAATCAGGTCGCTAATGGAGTCAGACCATCGGTTCGAAGCCCAGAAGAACGGGCGGAACACGCGTGGCGTTATAAGCAATGGATGCGTCACCTTGGCTTGTGTTTGAGTTGCAAGACAAAGTGCAACAGACCAAACTGTACAGAGACTTCCAGTACCTTCATCAGTGTCCCACCACCGGAGCAATTCAATGCTGGACCAAGACACTACACCAAATGTCATCTTTACCGGGCGGTAAAGAAAACTACTGACATAGAAAAGTCCTGAGGCAACAGGAAGAGAGCTAAAAATCTGAAAAAATATGCACCTTGTTCCTAGATGTTGGGGCGTCATGATGAGTATTTTTTTGTATTTTACACGCAGATATTGGTTTATGTACTAACAATAAACACTGAAAATCATCAAAAACTCACATGTAACAATACCTGAAATTTGGGTCATGAGTATGAAGACAATATTTTGTGGTCTAAAAACTTCAATAACTTTTGCAATTCTGCTCCGAATAACTCGATTTTTGGTTCATTCAAAAGCTGAACTATTCTCCTTCACACTTCATAATATTAGTAAGGTGCTATCTAGTCATTTAAACACTCTACATATGTTCAAACAGTTCTGCATGAATAGCTCTGTAGGATCTTTTTTAGACCAGCTACAGATGTGATGTCTCAATGAAAAATGTAGAGGAAAAGCTCACCTTTTTAA